GGGGAGGATATTGGGGAGGAAAATTGGGAAGAATTGAGGAGGACACTTTGAGGACATCTTTGGGAGATCATAGGGGAGATTAGGTGGCAGATATCGGGAAGATATGGGGGGAATATGGGGAGATACTGTGGAGGCACTCTGATAGCCTCTGAGAGTCTAGGGCAGATACGGGGAGATATGGGGAGATATGGGGAGATATGGGGAGACACTGGGAGGCACTTGCAGACACATGGGGAGTTATAGGGAGATATGGGGAGGTCGGGGGAGAGGTTGGGGGAGAGATGGGGAGAGATGGGGAGAGATGGGGAGAGACGGGGAGAGATGGGGAGATACGGGGAGATATGGGGAGATATGGGGAGGCGCTCTCCTGCGCCTCGAGGCTCTGATGCAGATACGGGGAGAGATGGGGAGATACGGGGAGATATGGGGAGATATGGGGAGGCGCTCTCCTGCGCCTCGAGGCTCTGATGCAGATACGGGGAGAGATGGGGAGATACGGGGAGATATGGGGAGATATGGGGAGGCGCTCTCCTGCGCCTCGAGGCTCTGATGCAGATACGGGGAGAGATGGGGAGATACGGGGAGATATGGGGAGATATGGGGAGGCGCTCTCCTGCGCCTCGAGGCTCTGATGCAGATACGGGGAGAGATGGGGAGATACGGGGAGATATGGGGAGATATGGGGAGGCGCTCTCCTGCGCCTCGAGGCTCTGATGCAGATACGGGGAGAGATGGGGAGATATGGGGAGATATGGGGAGATATGGGGAGGCGCTCTCCTGGGCCTCGAGGCTCTGATGCAGATACGGGGAGAGATGGGGAGATATGGGGAGATATGGGGAGATATGGGGAGGCGCTCTCCTGCGCCTCGAGGCTCTGATGCAGATACGGGGAGAGATGGGGAGATATGGGGAGATATGGGGAGATATGGGGAGGCGCTCTCCTGGGCCTCGAGGCTCTGATGCAGATACGGGGAGAGATGGGGAGATACGGGGAGATATGGGGAGGCGCTCTCCTGGGCCTCGAGGCTCTGATGCAGATACGGGGAGAGATGGGGAGATATGGGGAGATATGGGGAGGCGCTCTCCTGCGCCTCGAGGCTCTGATGCAGATACGGGGAGAGATGGGGAGATACGGGGAGATATGGGGAGGCGCTCTCCTGGGCCTCGAGGCTCTGATGCAGATACGGGGAGATATGGGGAGATACGGGGAGATATGGGGAGGCGCTCTCCTGGGCCTCGAGGCTCTGATGCAGATACGGGGAGAGATGGGGAGATACGGGGAGATATGGGGAGGCGCTCTCCTGGGCCTCGAGGCTCTGATGCAGATACGGGGAGATATGGGGAGATACGGGGAGATATGGGGAGGCGCTCTCCTGGGCCTCGAGGCTCTGATGCAGATACGGGGAGAGATGGGGAGATACGGGGAGATATGGGGAGGCGCTCTCCTGGGCCTCGAGGTTCTGGTGCAATGCGAGCGGGCTGCTGCCGACAGGGGAAGCGAGCGGGGGTGCGCCGAGCGGCCTTCCCGCCGCGCCGCGCCTCGACGGCCAGCCCTGCATCCGCACGGCCGAGGAGGGGCGTGATGGCGCGACCTACGCGCGCACACACACCGCAGGCCCCGTTGGGACCCCCCCCCTCCCTGGTGTGTGTGTGTGGGTGAGCGTGAGCGTGAGCGTGAGCGTGTGTGTGTGTGTGTGTGTGTGTGTGTGTGTGTGTGTGTGTGTGTGTGTGTGTGTGTGTGTGTGTGTGTGTGTGTGTGTGTGTGTGTGTGTGTGTGTGTGTGTGTGTGTGTGTGTGTGTGTGTGTGTGTGTGTGTGTGTGTGTGTGTGTGTGTGTGTGTGGGAGAGAGTGAGTGACTGAGTGAATGAGTGAGTCAGAGTGTATGTATGTGTGTATGTGTGTGTGTGGTGGTGGGGGGGGGGTGCGTGAGAGAGCGTGTGCGTGAGTGTCTAGTGGTGGGCGTCCCGTCGCGCCGCATCGGCCGCCGCCGGCTCTCGGGGGGAGCAGGCGGCGTCGGACGACGAGTCGAAGGAGGCGGTCGGGGAGACGCGCGACAGGGAGGCGGTCGAGGAGGACCGCGCTACGGAGCCCGAGCTGCCGCGCCTGCGAGACGGCTCCGAGAAGGTCAGGTCAGGGCAACTTCTCGTGCACGAGAGGCGGGAGGGGGGGGGGCGGCGTCGGCACGCCTCTGCACCCGCGGCGCCTTGGCGGGCCGCGCCTCGCCGTCGCCGGCCTCCGCCGAGCGCTTGTTCATCATGCAGCGGTACTTTTGGAGGTGCGACTTTATGTTTGCCTTGGTGAGGCCGTCGACGTCCATCAGCTTGAGGATGGACTTTGGCTTGGCGTTGTCGAGGCCGAGCGTGTTGCACGCCGCCTCGAACTGCGAGGCGGGGGGGGGGGGGGGGCGAGGGGCGGGCGGTGGCGGGAGGGGTGGCGGCGGCGGCGAGTGCGGCGGCGGCGACCTGCGCGTGCAGCTCTGGGGTCCAAACGAAGCGTGGCCGGCTCTGCTGGTGCAGCTCGGGAGCCGGCGGCGGCGTGAGCGGTGGCGAAAGGGCGGTCGCCTGGATCGGAATGTTGCTGTAGGAGGTGAGCGGCCCTGGCATGACGTACTGAGCGCTGAGCAGGCCGTTCCCGCCGTCCGCCTGCCGAAGCACTGCGTTCATCGCCATCGCCTCCCGGAGAGAGGTGGCGCCGGTCTGGACGACGGGAGGGAACAGCGCCGGGCCCCACTGGGAGGACGCGTTGATGGCGGGAGCCATGGAGTCGAAGAGGTCGGGCCCCTGCATTTTTGGAAACTCGTCGAAAACCCGTTTATAGCGGGCTTAGTCCGAGCCGCTGTTCATTCACGGAAAGCACAGCCCCTCTCTCTCGAGGTTCTCGAGGGGGATATCCTTTGGCGGCGTTGGGTAGTGAGGATTGGTGTAACCCGAGCCACGGAGGCGTGTTTTCTGACGGCCGACCCTCAGTGCACGGAGTTGCCCCTTCTCCGACTGCCCCGGCTAGTTTCCGAGGTCGCGCGGGGCTGACCCCTGCGTCCCCCGAGACCTAGCGCGGGTGGGTTAGAGGGGGCTCGCTGCGAGGAAGGGCGGTGTATGAGGGCGATCCCCGTAGTCCGCCCCACTCCTCCCCATCGGGCCGCATGAGCGGCCACGCCTCGCAGATTCGTTTCTCGCGCCTGGGTCAGGCGCGCGGGGCATCCCCCGGGTCGCTCGACCAGCGATCCGAAGAGTGGCCGCTATGCGAAGGAAAGAGCGGGGCCCTCGGGGTACGCCTCGTCCGGCCCCCTCCGAGGGGGGAAGGGAATTGCAGGGTCCCCTCGGGCGCCTCTCTTCGGCCCTCCCGAGGGGGTGAGGGGGTGAGGGGGTGAGGGGATCGGGGCGGTGTGGGGAGGGGTCTCGGTTTCGTGGGACTAATACTTGCCTTTCGGGGAAGGGCCTCCGGCCGTGCGAGGCTAGCTCAGCTCGACAGCTTCCCCTCCTCCCCAGAGGCAGCGAGTAGGCAGCGAGAGGAGGTCTCGAGCGCCTATATGTCAGTGTGTGAACGGGGTGGTGGCCAGTGCGCGGGCGAGGGGAGGGGGCGGGGCGGGGCGGGCGGGCGGGTGGGGAGGAGGGGAGGGGAGGGAGGCCTGGCCATCAGCTGCTGTCGAGCCGAGGCGGCAGCAGCCGCCGCAGCTGCGCCGCCTCCCGTCGCGCCGCGGTCGCCGCTCCCTCAGCGCCGTCGCCGCGTCGTCACCCGCCGTAGCTTCTCCTCCGCCGCCGCTGCCCGCCCCCGAGAGTGCGGCGGCGGTGTGAGTGTATAGTGCAAGGGAGGCGTGTGTGCGTGTCTGCCGCAGATTGCTGCCGCTGTCAGCGCCGCGATCCGTCGCCGCGCCGCCGCGCCGCCGCCGCCTGCGCTCGCCGCCGCCTCGTAGACGACTCCTCTCGCGCTCGGACAGCCGCGCCGCGGGCCGTGAGGTTGTGGTCAGAGAGCAGCAGGGTTGAGATCATAAAAACGGCCAATTTTGAGGTTGCCCGAGACGGCCCGGAAATGGCCCCGCGTTGTAGCCCCGGTGCCGGCGCATCACGTCTCACCAGCCGCGAGGGGCCGGTTCTCTGCCGCGCAGTCGAGCAGCAGAGGGCCGTTAGTAGAGGAGGGCGACTGAGGGCGCGAGGCCGCCAATCGTCAAAGTCTGCTGCGACTGACTGTCGGTCACTGACTGAGCAATGAGCAATCGCATCGGCGGTTTCACTCACGCTCACAATCGGGTTACATCCAGGTCTCTGTGCGGGATGTGCTGGGGGGCTGCCCCCCAGTCGATTGCCGCATAGTTCGTCGATGTAACCCTACCAGAAAGCTGTATTCACACCTACCCTTCCAAAAAAAGAAATGTCCCTGCTTTTGTCGAAGATCCGGCGGGTTTATCGGAGCATCACCCACTCGTGTGAGGCTACTACTTTATGTAGGCACTCGCACGGCGGCGTCGCACGCCTCAGCCCGCGAAGCGCCAGCATGCGCCGCGCGTTCTTCGCGTCGCCTACAGCTCAAAAGAAATTATTTTTCCTTCGGGGACACACGATTCCAGAAATGGTTGTGTCCCCGCTCCTCGCTCGCCCGGGCGGAGGGCATGGCCGCGGAGGAGGCGAGTACGCACTGCCAGGCCTTCCGCAGACAGCCTCTTGGCCAGACTGAGGGTCGGCTTTGTGTGGCGTGGCCCGTGCGCTGCGCTGCACAAAGCTGCGTAAACTGCGGGAGCATCCTGTGCTTCCTTTGAGAGGTGCGCACTTCCTGCAGCCGGTGGAAGGCCGTGCCGCCGCTCGCCTGCTCCGTGGACAGGGCGGGGAGGCGACGCCGCAGCGCCGCAGCGTCCGCTGCACGCCGGTGCAGCACTCTGCTGCCTGGTGGGCAGCATGCTGGTGCTGTGCGCGACGTTTTCGAGGCTGCAGTGGCGCTGCACCGCAAGCCACGGCGAGTGGCACGCAGCATGCGCGGCGCCGCGCTTGGCCCGGACAGCGCCAGAGAGTGCCCTCGATGGGCCAGCCTGCGCGGCGCGAGCGCCGCACAAGCTGACGCATCGTCTGCCATTCTCTGGTCGACGGCGGTCAATCTCACGATTGTCGATCAAAACCGGCGGGCTTTGTGACGCCGTTTACGCAATCGTTTTTTGGCTTCGCTTTCTCTTTTGCTTGTTTGTATTTTGTTTTTTCTTTTACGAAGCGACGGAGGCGGGGGCGGGCGGGCGCTAACTACGGGCAACTACATGTCGAAGGTTCGAGGACGACTACTCGCCGCCTGGGTCGTTTGGGGCGCGCGGCTCCGTCGAGGACCGGGCGCGCCCCTTTCCCGGCGCGGCGTAGGTCCCACTCTGACGTATAGAGGGGAGGCACGGACAACGGCCCAATTCATCAATTCCGCTCATCTTCTGGTGCCTAGCCCCGTGCAGCGGCGGTCCGGCAGGCTGCCCCCAAGGCCCCCTGGGCCGCTGCGGGTTTTGGAGTTATGCTTTGGCACAGCTTCGGCGATGGCGGCCCCTCTCTGGGGCTTGCATAGGCGGGGAGTCTCCCTCGCTGGTCTCCTCATTCCCTTTTTTCTTTTTCTTTTGAGCTGGGTGTGCCGCCGCGCGGCGCTCGCGCGGCGGCGGTGTGTGTGTGTGTGTGGGGGGGGGGGGGGGGGGGGCCTCCGGGGCCCCCGGTTTCCAGGGCAAAAGCAAAGGTCATCGGCTCCCCGGGGTTGGGAAAAGGAAAGGGGGATGGGCGGTCGGCGAAGGGGTAGCAGGTCTACAGGTGCGTACGGGGTAGCCGTCACTTTCCTGCCTCACAAGGGCGGGGCTGTCCCGGAAAGTGAGAAACGCCGGGCAGCGTGGCGCATCATTGAACCCTCCCATACGTGCTCGTCCCTCCTCCTTCGGGCTGTCCCATCTCCTCATCTCTTTCCCACCTAGGCGGGGCGGGGGTCGGGGGGGCGGCGGGCGCGGGTGCGAGGTGCGGTGCGGTGCGTGCAATCGTGTGTTTGGCGTCATGTCGTGTGTGCCTTCGCTTGTTCCTATTAACAACGAAGTCTAGCTCAAAAAAAAAAAGAAATAGGCCGCGCGTCGCTCTGGTCGAGGAGAGCCTGCGGGCTCTCCCACTTCGAGAGCAGGCGCGCTGCCGCCAAGTCTGCGAGCTTTTCTACCTGCTCGTGTCCGAGCTCAGACGACGCCCTTCTTATATGGCCTTCGCCTTCGCCGCCGCCGCCGCCGCGCCGCGCAGCATCGGCGGCCGCTGGCGTCCCGCTGAGGCTGCGGCCGGCCGGCCATCGGTCGCCAACTGCACCTGGCAGAACTTCACGCAGGCCGTGGATCACTTTGGCGGCGCGGCCGGCACCTTTCCGCAGCGGCTGTGCCTGTACGACAAGTGGTGGAAGCGCGCCTCCAAGGGCGGCTTCAAGGCCCCTGCGGACGCGCCCGGCCCGATCCTCTTCTACACCGGCAACGAGTCGCCGGTAGACGAGTACGTCAACAACACCGGCCTGATGTGGGAGCTGGCGGAGGATCTGGGCGCGCTGATCGTCTTCGCCGAGCACCGCTACGAGCCGCTCTCCCACCCCGCGCTGTGCGGGACGCAGCGCTGCTTTGCCTACTGCACGACCGCGCAGGCCATCGCCGACTGGGTCACCATCATCGCCGCGCTGCGGAGGAAGCACAAGGTGCGCGCGCCGGTCGTCGCCTTTGGCGGCTCCTACGGCGGGATGCTGGCCGGGTGGCTCCGGATGAAGTACCCCGAGGTGGTCGACGGCGTCATCGCCGCCTCGGCGCCCATCTGGCAGCTGGCCGGCACGGTGCAGCGCGAGACGCTCGACATGCCCGCGGTGGCAATCTCCAAGGGAGTGAGCGCGGCGGGCGGCGCGACCGACCGCTGCCGTGACAACCTCAAGGCGGCGTGGCCACTGCTGCAAGAGGCGGGACGCACGGCGGCGGGGCTGCGGCTGCTGAGCCGGAGCGTCAAGGCGTGCTCGCCGCTGCACGACGCGCGCGCGCTGACTCGCTGGGCGCAGTCGCCGTACTTTTTCCTCGCGGAGGGAAACTACCCCTTCCCGTCGACGTACATCACTTTCTCGGTCACCGAGGGAAAGGCCTTCCCGCTGCCGTCGTGGCCAATGCGCGTCGCGTGCGAACGGGGCATCGACGCGGACTTCGGAGTCAGAGTCGACGGGTCGGTGGCGGACGTCAACTTCACGCTCTCGCTGGGCGACCTCGAGGTTGCCGTCGACTGGGCCGACGCGACAGGCAACGGTGACACGCTCACTGCGGAGCAGCTCGAGGCGTCGGGCGTGATGCGGCTCGCCGCCGCCGTCGCCGCCGCGGCGGGCGTCTGGTATAACTTGACTCAAGACAAGCCTTGCTACGCCATCGGCGGTGCCGCCGCCGCCGCCGCCGCGCCGTCGCCATTCGAGCCGCCGCCGCCGCAGCAGCAGCAGCAGCCGCAGCAGCCGCAGCAGCCGCAGCAGCAGCAGCAGCCGCAGCAGCCGCAGCAGCCGCAGCAGCCGCAGCCCGGCAGGGCTTCGGTGACTAGGCGTGAGCTGGCCGAGACGCTGGGCGCTGCGGCGCCGGGCGGTGGTGGCGGCGAAGGCGAAGGCGAAGGCGAAGGCGAAGGCGAAGGCGAAGGCTGCCCTGCGTGCCCTCCGTGCGACGGTTGCCCCCCCTGCCCGGTCTCGTTTTGCGACTACGAGGACCGGTCCGCCTGCGCCTTCACGGGCACGCTCTCTCGAGGCTTCTCGTGGGGCGGCGTCTGCTCGAACGACGCCCTCTCGCAGGTCGAGGTTACCCGAGATG